CAAGGTACGTGCATTACTTATACGAGATTCATATTCTCACAAACACTAACTTGAGCATCGGAGTCTCTTTTGCAGGTACCACCCCCATCTTGGAACACAAGTGTACCAGTGAAGGAGGCTCACCGATCTTACCTGGCAGATCAGCTCTACAGCAGATTTCCGGTAAGAACAATTAATATCATTAATATCTATCTTCTTAAAAAAAATTATTTTTATATGGCATTCCCTTAATATTAGATGATGATATTTGTTTCTTGTTTTAACAAAATCAGTTTAACTGATTTTATTTGATTAAGTTGTTTCTTTATATAATGTGTTAGATATTTACATAATTTTTAATTCATTTAGACAACAACAACAATATAAATTTTTTTTAAAAGGAGGTGTAATTATAGAAAAAAGGAGGTGTATATATGATGAACCGCCCTTTTTAAATCTACTGTGTCCTCTTAGTTGCACAGTTGGGCTAATGCAGCACTACCAGAGCTTTTTGCTATTTACATTTCTCAAATTACTAAACTACCCAGTACATCATTTCTCTTTTTCTTGATGTTTAAATTTACTTAATACACTTCTTCTTTTTCAAAAGAAAGATAAATAAATTAATTAAAAAATAATTACAATTTTCAAATTAAATAACATACCAGATAAATAAAATAATTTAACACCTAATTAATATTGCATAAATAACACAGAATGTAAATAAATTATTTTAATATCAACTATATTTATTAATTCAAATAAATCTATTATAATCACAAAATACAAAATTATCAGTTAAAACCTACTTAAAACAAATATCATTAAACAGAAACAAAATAAACAATTAAATTTTAATTAACAATTACTAAGTAAATAAAATTTTTAACTTTAAATTCCCTATAGCGACTTTTAAAAATTAAAAAAAAAAAAACTGAAAATAAAATTTACCTCAAATGCATAAGCTTATAAGCACCACCAATCCAGCAATCTAAATAAACAATTACCTAATTAAAAAGTATAAATTTTTATTAACCAAAACGTAATATAAATAAAACAAATATATTAAAATAAATTTTTAAAAACAAAAGTAAATAATAAAGAAAGAAACTTAAGAAACTTACTCGGAGAAGTAGGAGGAAACGAGAGTGAAAGTGGGGGAGGGGGGGACCATTTACATTTTATAAGTGTAAAAAATAAATTTTTTAACCGCAGTGCCACGTGTCAGCCTCTGATTGGGCAAGCCTGCGGTGAATCAATGAGGTGCTATGAACCCCAGCGCTTCAAACGCGCCCATGGCCACGTGTCACTATCTGAGTGGTCAAACCTGCGGTCAATCAATGAGGCGCTATGAGCCCCAGCGCCTCCAAGGCGCCCTGGGCCATAGCGCCCCATTTTTATTTTTTTTCCTTTTTATTATTTTTTTCCACATTACATTACTTTTTTTTTTAAATAACTAAATTTTTTCTTATTTCAGTTCTTTTTTCCGCTTTTTTATCCGAAATTTTTTTTAATTAATTTATCAATTCTTTTTTTTATTAAATATTTTAAATAAATTATATTTTTGGTTTTTATTTTTAAAGGAGGCGCTATAAGCCCCAGCGCCTGCAAGGCGCCCTGGGCCATAGCGCCCCGTTTTTTTTTCCCTTTTAATTATTTTTTTTCACATTACATTACTTTTTTTTTAAAAATGTTATTTTTTCTTATTTCAGTTCTTTTTTCCGCTTTTTCTGGAAATTTTTTTATAATTCATTTATCAATTTTTATATTTAACAATTATTATAAAAAATTTTAAAAATGCGCTGTGACTCATAGCGCCTTTGTGCCGCTTGGAGCCACAGCGCCTCATATTTTGATTTTTTTTTTTTCATTTTTAATTTTTTATTCACATAAAATTTGTTCATTTTTAATTTTTTTTCTTATATATTACATTAAGTTATTTTTATTCCTTTTTCTTCACATAAAATTTTTTATTTTTAAAAATTTATTATATAAATGGGGTAGCTAACTGAAGTTGCTGTAGCCTATAGCGACTTCTGAGGGTCACCACCAGCTACAGCGCCTCCTTTAATATGGCGTTCATAGCTTAGAAGCACACTCAAAAATGCCACATGTCATAGGTGTCGCTATGGCCCATAGCGACACCTAATTAAAGAGCTCCAAAGGTGTAAAATGTTTCAAAACAGCCCCATTTTAGTATATAGTTTCTAAAACTGTACCAAAATGGTCGTTTAGCCGGTTTTCATACGACGATAACATATGATGTAATTTTAGATTTGAGTTGCAATGATTATAGAGACGTGAGATGTATTATAAGAGTCATTATTAGTGTGGCTCGTTAGTAGTTAAATATAGTAGTCATCAATTTTGTCATATATATGCTGATTTGTAATTAATTAATAATGTAACTACGTAACCTTTTTTTTAATTGTAATTTTATCATTAGGCTCCTCTATATTACAGTTATAGTTTTTTTCTGAGTAAAGTATCTATATATATTATTAAACATAGAATAGTTTTTTTTATTATAATTATTTCAAATATTCTAAATAATTATTTATGAAGATAAAAAATAATAATAAACGAAGATACAATTACTAAAGCTTATATTTCGATTTTTTAATTTTGTATGAATAAAGAATATATAATATTTAAATATTATGAAAATCTTAAAAATATAAATAATTTTTTTTTGTATTATAAATATATTTATTTAATTATATTATTAATAATATATTATGTATATTAATTTTATCATATTATATAATTAAATAAGTTAACCTATTAAGTTTAATAGACCATTTTAAATGTTTAAGTCAAACTTTTTTAAATAAATAAATTATTATTTAAAGTTTAATTTATTTTCATTTCTATCTATAACATTGGATGTAAGACGTTTAAATGATTTTTATTTTTGTTTTTTTGTAAAAGTTTATACATTTATTCTACATAGCAAATTTTAGTCAAGTGAAAATGTAAAAAAAAAAAAAATTAAAAAAATACATGGTTTATATATCGACTATTTTCTCTATTAAATATATAAATTTTCATATAAAATTATATAGACCAGGTTAATAACCTTTGTCTTAAACGAGTATTAAGTTTATACTTTCTAATTTATAATTTGTATATTTTTATGGCTTTTTAACAGTTTTATAAATTATTTTTTAAATAAGAGAGATCATAAAAACATTTATTTTTGAGGTACTAAATATTATCATAATTGCTTTTTTGTTACAGTAAACTTTACCTATTCAAATTGACACGCAATTGATACACATACATCACATTTAATGAATCATTAATTACATCGAAATAATTCCTTGCATTGCTAGGGTGACATATATATTAAGATCTTTTTTAATAAAATTAGTGTCATTTTAATATTTGAAAGTAATATTTATTATTATTATTATTTATAATCTTAATATTATATTTTAAAAAGTTATTATTGTATTACATTTTTTTAACAAAGAAGAAAATAATAAGCATAATTATGTAACTTTTTATTTATATGGGACGAAAGCACCAAATTACAATAATTTAAATTATTAGAGACCAAATTAAAACAAAAAATTAAAGTAGAACTAAACTGAAACAAAAAAATATTATAAGAAACTAAATAAGGGTTTTAACTTATGTTTTTCTTAAGTTATGTAAACATATCTAAGATAACATACTGATTAAAAAAAACTAGGATAGTTAACGAATTAAAAATGATTTTTTATATATATATTGAAAAATGTATCAACATATTTACCATATAACTTTATTGTAATTTTTATAAGTTTTTTTTTACTAATTTTTTAAACAATACTATAAAGGCACTTTTTAATAAGATTCTTTAATTTATATGACAACTTAAGTTATTACTACAATGTGTAATAAATATACAATATCTAAAATTTATTGCATGTAATAAAATATACAGTGTGTAATAAATACACTAATTTACTTACAAAATGGAAAATGTTTTTATTTCTATCAAAGAATCAAGTCGCCTTATGACATTTTTATTAATTTAGCAAAAGTAGCATGCTCAAGTGGTTATATTTTTTAATTAAGGTTTAAAATTTATTTTTTATTTTGAGCATGAAGTCGCAATAAAAAATATCACTTTACTCTTATAAAAATTGATTTAATGAGAAGAAGTTATACCTCCTTATTAAATTAATAAAAAAAATAAAGACATCAAAAATAAAATCAAAACAATTTACATATTAAAAAATATACACATTTTGAAAGTATTTATTGTATTTTTCTTGTCTATTAGCATAGCTTATACAATATTTTAAAATCGACAACTGAAAATTAATTTATATTTATAGAACATGATTTTTGTTAATAAGATTAATAATTCTTATATAATATGTGGTGCATTAGGATAGTCAATTAAAAATAATATACTTTTAATTTTAAGAAAAATGTTCCTTATTTTTAATTATTTTTTACATGTGACTTTTTTTTTTTACTTTAATAATGTGTTTAGATAATAATTTCTCACTTTTTAAACACCCTTAATAAAAAAAAAAAGTGAAATTAAGAGATGTAATGGACAAGAGAAGAAACCGAATAAAAACAATTACTTATTAAATGTATTGCAAATTTGTAATTAGCCACCCACAATGTTGTTCGTTTTTACATTTAAGTATCGCAGTTTAACTCGTGCTCAAAACAACAAAACACAAACTTCTGTGTTAAAGAGTTCTATAAAAAAAATATAAAATAAAATTCACATTCACCAACGTCCATTAATTCAACCATCTTGTTTTACTTGAAAGAAAAACATGACGCCTTCCCACTCAAACATAAAAAACATAAATTACTGAAACCAATACAACATAGAATGTAACGCGCAACATAGAATATAACACACTACACTAAAGATAATTATATAATTTGTGATTGATCCAGTGAGAATTACATTGTTGTTATCACAAAATTATGATTAAAAGATGTGTTGAGCATAAACATTTATTGGTGGAAATAAAAGAAAGATGGTTGACATTAAAAAATGCTAATTAAGCATGAACAGGATAAAAGGATTGGAGCTTGAGTTTGTGGGAAGGCAGCCATGGCTTAATCAACACAAAGGTTTGGTAATGGTTGTATGAGCCATGGGTGGTCTCAAGGGTAAGGCGGTACATGATCCCATTATTCCCATCTAGCGGCTCATTGTCGGCCACAATTACCTTTTTCAACTTCAATTTTTCACCAGATTGCTTATTATGCTCTCTTACGGCGAAATTTGCAGCCTCCCTCACGTAAGGGTTGTTCACGCCGATCGGACTAAAACCTAAGCTCCTCACACCCTTTATGGCAACGCCAGAAACCAAGAGAACAAAGACCAAAATTAGGCACTCCACTTTCATCCTGCTATTGCTTATTCTAAGACCTTCTAACTTATGACTCCAGTTATGAATTTTGCTTCTCAGATGCCTTCCAATTTATAACCCAAGCTCACCTAGGGCCTAGAGGTACAATCTTTTTTTAAATAATAAATTATATACAAAGTATTAATATGTTTGAATATATGTTTAAAAATCAAAAGTAATTTTTAATGAGCTAGTGTCAATTTTAAATGAGATTCAATAATATATCTTATGTGTTTCTATAATTTATATTTATACCTTTTAATAATATACTAATATATATTATATTTATAATATAAGTAAAAATATTTTTAATGATAAATATTATTTGATTATAGGATGTGTGTTATTATATAACAATTCTTTTTAGTAAGAGAAACTCTAAAAAAATACTTCTATCTTATATATAAAAATGCTCTTAATAAAAAATTATTATGTATAATAAAATTGTTAATTTTTACAATAACAATCTTAAAAGTTGTAAAAAAATATTTGTGATGGATGACTGTACATTTATTTTATATCGAGAAAATAGATAGTATTTTGACAATGTAAAATAATTTTACATCCATCGCAAATTATCATTTATGATAAATTGTTGATTTTGTAATAAATAAATAAATAAATTAGACAAACAATAAATTTATGTTGATTGACACCGTAAAACTATTTTACATTATAAGTGTATTACCATTCTATTCAAATTTAAAATAAACAATAACATCCATATAATAACAAACTTAAGTCTCAAGTAAAAAAAGACAAAAACATTAGGATTTTTTATTTTAATAAATTCATAAATAATTATGAAAATATTTATTATACTTAGGGGCGGATAAATGGGTTAAGGTCTACTGATCAATTGGTTAAGCCCATGGCTCACTCATATACAACTCATTTTATATATATTTTTTAAATCCATACAGTCACAGTGAATTTTTCTGTTGCGCCCCACGAAGCCTATTTCACATAGAGGTGTGCAAAAAATTTAAATTGATCCATAATCGATCCAATCCATATTGAAAATCCCGATTCATTTTGGGAAAAAAATCCGAACCGATCCACTTTATAAAACCGGTTCAATTATCCGACCCATTTTTACAAAGTGGATTGGTTCGGTTTGGTTTGATTTTTTAAAAAAACCGATCCATATATGAATAAAAAATGGATAACCGCACCGCACCGAACCGATCTAATTTCAAAAAAATTGATCCATATTTTAAAAAAATCAAACCGATCTACTGTCTAGTTCACTGTTATAACATGGATCGGTGCACTTCGAATTGGATCTAAAAAAAAATCGATCCATATTTTAAAAAAATCAAACCGATCTACTTTATAGTTCACTTTTATAAAATAGATCGGTTCAGTTCGAATTGGATTTAAAAAAAAATCGATCCATGAACACCTTTAATTTCACACTCAAACTTAACAATGTTTGTTTTTATGACTTTAAGATTTTAATATTTAATTAATGAATTTGACTTTTAAATTTTAAGATATCAAGATTTAAGAGTTTGATGTTTAGTTAATGTATTTAGATTTTTTAATTTAAAATATTATTTACTGTATTATAATTTTATTTTTATCTCGAAAAAGTTACTTTTATATCCCCATAAAAATAATTTTGTAGAAAATCTAAACAAAAAACATTCTCAAAAAATAATATTTCTTATGAATATTATTTTTTAAATAAAAAATTAAATAAAAAACTAATATTTCTAATATAAGATTCCTATAGAAAAAAAGTCATAGACCAAACACTTCCTACCAATGAATGCTTTTTACATATTAATTTCTTAAAGTCTCATGAGCCCATGTTAACAAAACTCATATATTGATAATAAAAATTAATAGTATTATTAATTATAATATCTATGAAATTAATGTAATGTATGCTTATCAAAAAAATATATGCATATTAAATAGACTTTAATGAATTATAAAAATATTTTACATGCCAACCAATCACAATTTATTGAATTTTGACTTTTAAGTTTTTTTTAGGCTTAAATATGTTTTTAATCTCTCAAATTTAAAACAAATTTATTTTTGGTCTTTCAAATTTAAAACTGTTATTTTTAGTCCCTATAATTTTTAAAAATCTTGTTTTAGTACCTTAGGTCACCAATAACATATTTGAAAGTGATTAATTAAGACAGTTATACAATATCAATCGGATTTAATGTGATATTTTCACTAATAGAAATACTAATAAGTAGATTTTATGTAATAATATCTAATAAATTTTTTAACAAAATTTAAATATAATGACTAAAATAATATTTTTTTTAACCCCAAACGTGTGGTTCAGCGGTAGGGGTTGATCCACGCTTAATATGCCTTTATGACAATTGAAATTTGAGAAGGAATGCACTTTCATTATGAATTTGAGTTTTAAGTGTTTTGCTTTAACATTTGATGATATTGACGAATGAAGGGTAAAATATCAATTAAAATTTTAAAATTGTATTAAAAAAGATGCAAAAATAATTTATCATGATCATGATTATTATTATTTGAGTTACATTTATTTATTTATTTTTTCAAATGTTAATTTATGTGATTATATATTTATAATATTAAACAAATTTTATACATATTAATTATAAATTATGATAATTTTTGTTAATTTAATATTATTTGTTAATGTTTAAGCAAATATTTTGATATTATAAATTAGTTAAGTTAATTGTGATTGATATTTTTTTTTTATGTAATATAGTAGTAATTTTATAATATAATTTTTTTAAAAAAATTATAAAGTTTAATTGTTTTATTTTTTTAAAAAAAAATTAAGTGAATTAACGTATGGTAAACCAAGCAAAATTAATTTTTTTTAGGCTTATAAAAAATTAAACAAAGTTAAGTTAACCCATTTATTATTCAATCCTTAAGATGAGTGAGGGTGAATAACCTATTTCCACAACTCTAAATTATATTGAAAATTTGGAATGAAATCTAGATTTGTTGCTGGTTATCAAGTACGTGAGGTAATTTAAGATTGTATAGATTTGAAGTTGGTGATGAAATAATGAGTATATTGTGAATCCTAAAAAAATACTTGAGAAATAAGAAAATTGGAAAAAAAAATAGTTGAGAGAAATAAAAAAGAGAAAAAAGAAATGGGGTGAAATGGGCAGGGAAAGGAAATATGGAAAAAGACAGGCGTTGAGGAGAGAAAGAAAGGATGGTGATGACTGATGAGGGTAGAAAAATGAGAAAGGCGTGAATTCACGTGAGCGACGAGACGGATCATCGGATAGCCTGAGAGTGAGAGAAGCGGAGATAGGAGTGTGCGTGTCCAAACCCAGGGGGCTCCGAAGGGGCTCTTCGTCGGAGGCGGTTCATTCCCCTCCGGATTCCCCCGCCATGAAGAGCCTCTTCAAGTCCAAGCCCCGCACTCCCTCTGACATCGTTCGCCAAACACGAGATCTTCTCCGATACACCAACCGCGACCACGACAAGGTCCTCTCCTCGCCTTTTCTATTCCATTCTTATTCTCTCTTTTCTTTTCTTTTCTATTTCAATTCACGCCACGCTCGATGCAGATGTCCGACCTCACCAAAAACCTAAGGGACCTCAAGTCTATCCTCTATGGAAACAGTGAATCCGAACCGGTTCCCGAGGCTTGTGCGCAGCTCACTCAGGAATTCTTCAAGGATAATACCTTGCGACTCCTTATCCAATATCTTCCCAATTTGAATTTGGAGGTAATTCTTTTTATCTTGATCTCTCTCTTTTTTTTTTTTTTTTTTTTTTTTTTTTTTTTTTTT